AATCAGAGTCTCCATCGTAAAGGACTGCCACCAGATGACTGGATCCTGCTGCGTATAGTTGTCAAACTTCTCGATCCGGAACGTCGGCATCTTGTACTGCCGCGGTGCACCAGTGCTGCCATCGTCGGCTGGCGGCTGTTGTAGCTGCCGAATCTCGGTCTTCAAGGTGCCGAGCTGCTCGCTGATGGTGGCTGGTGCAGCGAAAGTATCGATGTCCTCGAGCATTGCGAGTACATGGTCGAGTCGTTGCTCCAGCTGGCGGGCTGAGGCGGCATGACTGGGTTCGCCAGCATCTGGTCTTGGTGCTGCTTGCGCGAAGTCCTGTACATGGGCACTATAAAGCTATAAAGTAGTATAAACAGTAACTAGAGGGGCTTAAACTTTAAAGGGTATATCTTACCTCATGTTTTCTCATTAATTTTTCACTTAAAATTAATAAGGAATTTCGAGGGGACCCTCGGCTAAAAGTTGCTTGCGTTGCAATTTTCACAACATTTTTTTTTTCGGATTTTATATTATATATTTTTTCTGTTTTTTTAATATTATGCGCTGGGACTGCCCGGGACCCTGCCCAGGCCCTGCCCGCCCTGGGCCGCCCTGGAGGGTACCCGGGCAAACTTCCCCCGGCCGGGCCGCCTGGAAGGGTACCCGGGCAAACTTTCCCCTGTCGGGCCGCCCGGGGACCAGCATAGGTAAACTAATCTATCTTTTTAATTTATATTCTTTGTTTAATTGGTGTCTTATCAAATTGCTTTGTTGACAGAGCTTGTTGCCATACCTTACCAAGATGAGGACAGAAGCGCGGACCTTGTCTAGGTTCTGATTGGCGTACTCAGAGCCCTCCTTCAGAAGCTTCATCTTCCAAAGAACTTCCTCTTTAGGAAGGATGTTACCTGCAATCTGGAATCAGAGTCATTCATGGTCCCAACCGAAATTAGATCAAGAGAGAGGTTTCCACATGCATTCAGTCCAGATTCAGATACATAACCAAAATGATAATAAAATCTATCATATGCTGGATGGTCTGCATTCAACAGTGTGTGTTTGTGACCAGGCTGCGAGGAGTGGGAAGGGCAGAAGGACAGACAGACAGACAGACAGAGACAGACAGAGACAGACAGACAGACAGACAGACAGATCCAACCGTAAATATTACTGGACCAGGAGGAACAGGGAGGGCAGGCGGACAGACGGACAGACAGACAAACAGGCAGGCAGGCAGCCAGGGAAAGAGGCGGGGGGGGAGAGTATGTGACAGAGAGAGATCGTCTGAGAGAGACAGAGTGTGTGTTGTTAAAGCACCCCAAATTCTCTCTCTCATTTCCTCCACAAATCATAACAAACCATCCACAACGAAAGAGTATAGATAGACAATAGAGAGTATAGATAGACAATATAATAGAAAATGCAAGGTTGGCCACATTTGTGTGGTTCAGCGCCAAGTGCCCACACACCTGTCTGCCGCCGAAGCGGCACACTTGCACATATGTACATACATTTATTTGATCCATAAAAGGGTAGAGGGCAAGAAGCAACTTACCTAAGACAGAGGACTCCACCAGCAAAAAGCACCAACCCGATCCGCCATAGGTTCGAAAAAACTTGGAGAGCCCTCCACGTCGGCCCACAAAACCACAAAACAGCATAACGCGAAAGGCTCCACTAACAAAAAGTACTGACCACACATGCCAATGGTCTAAAAAGAATTTTTATAGCCCTCTGCAACGGCCTACAATGTCACCACAATTCAAATATACACTGCAGGACCTGTACGTGACACCAAGAGTGCCATGAACCTCCCCCTGCCGTGCAACCTGCAGAATCGGATGATGTCCTAGTGCTACACCGAGGCCACTGCGCGAACTATGCCAAATTCCACAAGATCTCCACGCGACACCAGGAGCACTACTGCTTAAAACACCCTAGATGGCACCACATTCTTCTATGTGCTCCGAAAGAGCAGCCCGCGGGGAAAGACACCCACAGCAAACACTCTCTGAGCCTCCTCACAGAGATATTGTGGCCAAAACCCCAAACTCCCACCCCAGAAAAAACTCGTGGCCACCCACAGACATTACTTCATCGACAAGACAGCCCATGCTACTGCAATGAACCCAACCAGGAGAGAACCTCGTCAATGTTGAAGTATAGTATGTTTCAGAGCAGTTTCAATGTCTCCAAAGTCGCACATGTAAATCAGGTAGCTCAATGTCTGGTCACCAGAGAAGAGGAACGAAGGAGGCAGATAAGACTTAAGAGGGTGGAAGAGAAAGTATCCATCAATATAGAAGATAGATCTCCCTCAAGCCCACTTCGTCTCCGGGCATCTCCCACTCGCCACGTCAGCAGACAGTCCCCTCTGACACACTCTGACAATGAGCAGATCTCATCATGGCGCTTGACAGTGCAGACACCTTCTGAAGACGAACAGCAAGGGGCAATGTGGACACGAACGCAAACAGGTAAGATTCCCCCACATTCGACCAATCTCACAGCCCTGATCCTCCTCCTCCTCGCCAATACTCCATCAATGTCGTAATCAGAGTGGCAAGAGCCACGTCAGCATAATAAAGTGTCCAGCTGGCGCCGAAGACAAAGAAAGGGGCCAGCATAACACAATAGCAGTCCTGCGTCGTTGCATCAGCGTCAAGCCAGCGTAGTGCCAGCGTCAGGCCAGCGTCAAGCAGCATGTGCAAGACTGAATGTCGGTCAGCAGGGGCTGGGTCAACTTATAGCATGGTAACCGGCCAGACGTCTGGACTGGAATCCAGACGGTCCTGTTGTCTGGGTCTGGGTGCGGTGTCCGGTCCGGTAGGTCCGGATTGGACCCAATTTTGAAATTTTCGATTTTTTTTGGGGGGGGGGCCTAACACATTTTTCAGGTCCTAGGCCGCCCCCAAAAAATGACCCCGGTATTTTTTGGCCGTTTCAGGGCTTACCGGACGCCGCCAGACGCCTCCAACAGCTCCCTCTGCTGTTGTACTACGGTGTTAGTTCATTGGAAGAGGATAAGTCCGATTCCGAAGATGAAGCGCTGGCTCCGAAGCGCCACAGAACATTAAGAGAGAGAGAGAGAGAGAGAGAGAGAGA